CATTGTCATGATTGTTTGGTAGTTCACTCAAAAATGCTATAACAATCGCCAAGCTCGCTGTAATGTCACCAAGTGCCTCGTCACCCACGAATAGGCGCCTATGTCAGTGGTCTAACAACTCTTAGCGCGCTAATGGCATAGTTCCCCTGCCGCATAGAGAGTTGCCACAATGATATTAGGTTAGCTAAGGTCAGTTAACTGACTGGTGGGAAACGGGAGCTTCAGCATTGACTGTTATGTACGCATTTTTATTATGTTATCTAACAACAATGGTGTGTAGTGTTTACACGATCATGTTTCTAATTCTAATGTGTTGTAAATATAATTGAAAGCATTTGAAAAGTAAGATTCTAGTGTTTTGTATATCTAAAAACATTAGTAAACATCTACATTTGAAAACATTCAAACAACGTTTACTTTAAACGTTTTGTACATCTGAAAACATCAGAGAACAACAAACACGAAGTACAATTAAAAACATCCGAACAACGTTTAGTTCTAACGTTGTGTACATCCGAAAACATCCAAAAAAAAGTTTGGTTCCAGCATCGGGAGGCATCTACGTTAGAAAACATCAGAATACATTTACATATAAAACATTCGAACAACGTTTAGTTCTAACGTTTTTTACATCCGAAAACAACCCAAAAACGTTTGATTCTAACATCAGGAAACCTTTACATTAGAAAACATCAGAAAACGTTTACATATAAAAACATCCGAAAAACGTTTAGTTCTAACGTTTTTTACATCTGAAAACATCCAAAAACGTTTGTTTCTAACATCAGGAAACATCTACATTAGAAAACATCAGAAAACGTTTACATTTAAAAACATCCGAACAACGTTTAGTTCTAACGTTTTGTACATCTGAAAACATCCTTAAAACGTTTGGTTCTAATGTCAATAGATTGAAATTTTTGACGTCAGACCGACATTAGAATGGCAAAATTTTGTTCCAAAATTTCTGATGTATACATCATGTTACGTTGCTTAAATACATCTAAATCATAATGTTTCCTAATGTTTGACATCAGGCATACATTTGATTTTGATGCTGATGTAGACATCAAAATCAAACGTTGGGCTAATGTAAATTTCTATTCGGGATGACGCTGAAGGCACCTGGAAAGCGGTCAAACCTGCGGAGGGACAGGAACCTGATCCGGAGCTGAGCGATCGAGCGTTGGCCACAATTTGCCTAAGTGTCGAGAGTAACATTTTTAGTATCGTGCAAAAGGCTACTACAGCATCGGATGCGTGGATCAAGCTGCAGAAATCGTTTCAAGAGAAGGTCGAGCAATGATGTCAACCGAGAAGCAGAAACCGGTGGAGTTCATGGAAATTGTCACCTGGATTGTGTTAAGTCCTTCTTCCAGTTCACTAAATATAAAACACTTCTGCTTTGGTTAACGATCAAAATACAAGAGAGCAACTTTATTTTCAGGTATATAACATCGAGCATTACATAGAAAAGATAGAACCCATTTGGAGACGCAAGAGGGATAGGAATCTGTTACACTGTAAAGACAAATTCATTAAATTTCAAGTTCATTACAGATTGATGAAGTTTTCGATATACCGGAGCAACCAAACGTCGAGAATACTATCCCAGAGGAGCAAGATACGGAAGGACCGACTGAGCCTGATGATCTGATGTTTCTGAGATTTTACATACAACTGGAGAGATGTGTCTGCATCAGCGCTCCCACCACAACAAGATAGACCAGCTGGTAATGAGCAGCGTGTGTTAAGGCGCAGCGGTCGGGAGCGCCAAACCCCAGGCAAGTATTTGGACGTGATACGCGGACGTTGGCTGACTTACCGGCCGATCGGAAGTGTATTCGCAACAAGTGGGTGTTTAACAAGAATCGTGAACCGGATGGAGAAATTGAGCGATACAAGGCACGTTTGGTGGTCAAAGGATGTTCTCAGCGACCGGGAATCGACTACGACGAGGTTTATTCGCCGGTGGTCCGTTACTCCACCATTCGATATTTGCTGGCATTATCTGTGAAACACGACCTGGATGTGGAACAGATGGACGCAGTTACTGCATTCCTGCAGGGGAAGCTCAAGGACGAAATCATATATATATATATATATATATATATATATATATATATGGATCAACCTGAAGGCTTCGTGAACAAAAGCGGCAAGGTGTGTCTGTTGCGGAAAGCACTCTACGGCTTGAAGCAATCCAGCAGGGTCTGGAACAGCCAGCTCGACGAGGCGTTAAAAGATTTCGGACTTACACGCTCGATACTTGCTTGTACTTCAAGTTAGAAGGAGGAAAGATGCTTTTTGTGACCATCTATGTTGATGACTATCCTCATATTCAGCAACGACCCTCAGATGAAAATCAAGCTTAAGAAATTTTTGCATACCCGTTTTAACATGAAGGACATTGGTCAAGCGAAATACTGCTTGGGACTGAGAATATCCAGGGATAGGCGAAATGGTAAGCTTTGGCTTGACCAGCAGCATTATGTGGAGACGCAACGGTTCAACATGGCGAACTGTTGTCCAGTTTCGACTCCAGCTGAACCTTGGTTGAAGCTCCACAGAAAGATGTCACCAAGCACATCAGACGAAATTCAGGCGATGAAAAATGTACCGTTCAAGGAGGCAGTTGGCTGTTTGACGTACTTGGTGCAAGCGACGAGGCCTGATATAAGTTATGCTGTTAATCAGGTCAGCCAATTTTGCAGTAATCCTGGACAATGCCATTGGATTGCTGTAAAACGGATCATGAGGTACCTAAAGGGCACAGTTGGACACCGGCTTCAGTATTGCAGAGAGGAAGTTTCCCAATTGGTCGGTTATACAGATGCGGATTGGGGAGGAGATCTCGACACGCGAAAATCGACGAGTGGATACGTGTTCACGTTCATGGGCGGAGCAGTTTCGTGGAACGTGAAACGACAGCCGACAGTTGCACCATAGAGGTAACTCTAAGACTAGAAGGTCCCGCGGAAACGTGCTCAACTTTTTGGCACAGCTCTGGTACTCTCTTCAGTCCCAAGCTAATCGATTCACCCCTCGAAACATAGGAAAAACCAATAACCCCTCATTTTATATGTCAAGCTTTCATAGCGAATCAAAACAAACATTGCGTAGTACTAGAATTACGACTAGAATGGGGTACGTTAATCATTTGCTTGGGACCAATAGGCTAGTCAAGTAGTGAGCCAATTTAAAATCGTTAGTTTCATATTGATTGTTGATATAACCCCCGGACCAAACATTTGGACATCAAGCACCAGTTTGTGAAGGACACTTTGGATCGTGGAGTCATCGACCTTGCGTACGTTAGCACGAAGGAGCAACCCGCCGACGGTCTTACGAAGGCTTTAACGAACATCAAACTGGAAGCTTTCAGAACATTAATAGGACTCGCAGCTTAGGAAGGAGTGTTGTGATCTCAATCTAAGTAATCCGCGAGTTCGTAGTAACCACTGTTATTTTGTTAGTCAACTAAAACTTTCATTCGTTTCCAAGCATTCCTCAAGATCAGACGTCTTTTATTTTACTGCATTTACAAGTGATTAAAAGCTTGTTTCCAGTAAAAAAACCCAAAAAAATCCCTAAAAATAGACTGAGCTTCTGTCCTACGGATCATTTCTGCTAAATTCAATCAATACTGAACCCTTCGTAGAACCAATCGGTGGAAACTAATGATTTTAAATTGGCTCACTAATAACCTATAGGTCCCAAGCATATCGATTAACGTACCCCATTAATCGAAATTCTAGTACTAAACCATAGAGGTAACTCTTGGTAACTCTAAGACCAGAAGGTCCCGAAATAACGAGCTCAACTTTTTGGTACTATCTTCGGTCCCAAGCTAATCGATTCACCCCTCGAAACATAGGAAAATCCACTAACCCCTCATTTTATCTGTCAAACTTTCATAGCGAATCAAACAAACAAACATACTCCTCCTCCTCCTCCTCCTCCTCCTCCTCCTCCTCCTCCTCCTCCTCCTCCTCCTCCTCCTCCTCCTCCTCCTCCTCCTCCTCCTCCTCCTCCTCCTCCTCCTCCTCCTCCTCCTCCTCCTCCTCCTCCTCCTCCTCCTCCTCCTCCTCCTCCTCCTCCTCCTCCTCCTCCTCCTCCTCCTCCTCCTCCTCCTCCTCCTCCTCCTCCTCCTCCTCCTCCTCCTCCTCCTCCTCCTCCTCCTCCTCCTCCTCCTCCTCCTCCTCCTCCTCCTCCTCCTCCTCCTCCTCCTCCTCCTCCTCCTCCTCCTCCTCCTCCTCCTCCTCTCCTCCTCCTCCTCCTCCTCCTCCTCCTCCTCCTCCTCCTCCTCCTCCTCCTCCTCCTCCTCCTCCTCCTCCTCCTCCTCCTCCTCCTCCTCCTCCTCCTCCTCCTCCTCCTCCTCCTCCTCCTCCTCCTCCTCCTCCTCCTCCTCCTCCTCCTCCTCCTCCTCCTCCTCCTCCTCCTCCTCCTCCTCCTCCTCCTCCTCCTCCTCCTCCTCCTCCTCCTCCTCCTCCTCCTCCTCCTCCTCCTCCTCCTCCTCCTCCTCCTCCTCCTCCTCCTCCTCCTCCTCCTCCTCCTCCTCCTCCTCCTCCTCCTCCTCCTCCTCTTCCTGTCATTATTGTTACAAAGATGGTGAATCGATGAGGGGAATCCCTACATAGTTGGTTTATAGGGTGTCTCGTAAATTCCCTGTAGAACCACAAACCGTCTCCTCTATCCACGGACCGATGACCGATCACATATATCCGGAGAACTTCGAGATTAGGGCGTAATTGCTTTTGTAAACAAACACGTCAATTACCGATTTCTCGCTAGTTAAAACTCAATCTCGAAAACTAATAACACAAATAGGTAGAGGAATGAATCCTTTTTCTTTTTCTATAGTTTGTTTGCAAGATTGAGCTTCTATTCACGAGCAATTGGCGATTGACGTGTTTGTTTACAAAAGCAATTACGCCCAAATCTCAAAGTTCTCTGGATATGTATGCACAAACCGAAGAGACCTCTCCGGGTTTTCTTCGACGCAAGAAAGAGCTTGACGACGATCGTGCCAACGATCGCGTATCAGTTCTTCGAGTGGTGTTCAAGTGATCGGTCGCAAATATCTGTACCGCGACGCGTGAGTGAGGTGCAACTAGTTGGAAACTTGAAGAAATTGTCACCCGTTTGGAACTGGTCATCCGTGTGTAGTGCAGCTAGGAACTGAAAATGACGGCTGGACCATTTTCTCAAATCCTGATCTGTTCGATACTGATCTTGAGCCTCTACCGGGAAGGAGTGAAAGCTCGTACGTATACGATTAATGGATTTTGATTGCTTACTTGATTAGCGAGTTTTAAACACCACGAGCAGATTATGACTTTAGGTTGCTTTTGTAGGAACTACTGTTCGCAAGAAGCAGAAGAGCAGAAGATAAATATATGACTGTGCTATAAATTTCGGACGGCGACGCATCACGAAGATGTTAAGGACGAAACCTTGACCTTTAGTCGAATGGTTGATGTTGATTGAGGTTGTTAATGTTCTTCGGGATTGTCAGAGCAGTAGAAACAAAGTAGTCTAAGTGCTACTCAAATTCCACCCATTTGGCGATTCTTGAAATTGAAACTTGTGTATCAATCTTATGGTGAGCGATAATGGTAATTGAAACCCATGAAAATGATTTCTGCGACGTGCCGTTGAAACATGTTACGCTTAGACACTTTTAAGTGACCTGATCACCAGTTCACCGAAAAAATGAACTATTTTCAACTAACAATCAATAGTGTCACTTTTTTCCCCAGATTGAAAAAAAATCTGCCTAATCATTTAATTGTAGTAATTGTTGCCATTTTTGCGAATACGAGCAGTGATTACTAGGTTAGATGGGTCATCAAACTGGAATTTGAATTATCATCTAAACTTCATTCTATACATTAAACCAAATATCATTTATATACCTCGAAGTGGAACAGGTTTTGGCAACACAACCCAAGTAACATTTTTGGTTTTATTATGATTTTGAAGAGGTGCACGAAACTTAGAATGGACTGGGAGACCATAACAAAACCGGAAATATTGCACGCAAACATTTGTGTCTTCTTTGCGTTCTATAAAATTCATCGAACGCTTTATTCAATTTGTGATTTCACTGGAGATGCCTCGTATTTCATGAATAATTATCCAGAAGGCAGTTGCAAACATTTTAGCGAAAAGGCACTGTATATCAAAGAAGAGCACTTCCACGCCAAATGACAAAGCGATCAGACGCGACGTTCTCCGATTTGCATGAAATTTCGCATAATTGTTTGTTATGGGCAATCATTCACATTTGAGCAAAAATTAAGCCACTTTGAATCTTGCCATCACATCATTTGGAACAAATTGGTGTTGAAAAGATTCATTGACAAGAATCGTTGCGAGCAAACCAGAACGCAATATCAAAAAATCCTGTTAAATTAATATCAAGAATGATATTTTATTCCATTATCACGCGTCATATTGAGAGTGTATGAGAACGAAAAAATATCGTTTGATTGATGATTTTGCCAACCCTGCTCAATAGTTTAGTCGCACTATCTATTTAGGGGTAGAAAGAAAACAAGAGCCACCGCAGCCAACTGAAGCTGGTAACCGGTGCAACCTTGTTGTTGTCTATAAATGCATTTTATGTTATATACTGGAATAAATTAAATTTTTATTAAATGGATGGATCTCACAAAATTTTGCGCCGGATCCAGTTCTTCTCCAAACTTAATATAATGTTATGCGGACCGTCCAGTTTCACCACTCCGTTTTCTGATTTCTATACACTTCTTCCACTCACAATACCGATTCCATATACCAAACTTCCACTACCATCATGATATTTGCTTTTTTCTTCCCTTCTGAACTCATCTTCAAAATTATCTTTTCTCTCGCTCCCACTGTTATTCTACAACTTGGATACCGGACTTGGGGGCATCATAGCCTAGTCAGTAAAGGCACGGTATTACCAAGCTGGAGGCGGCGGGTTCGATTCCCGGACCGGTCAAGAGGGAATCTTTCGGGTTGGAAATTTTCTCGACTTCCCTGGGCTTGCCACACAATATTCAAATTTATGCATTGGTATTGACATCGAAAGCTCTCAACCTCCTCCTTCTCCTCCTCCTCCTCCTCCAACTGTCATCGACGGAACGGGCAACACTCTGCCTCTCCTAAACAAACAAACAAAAAACGCTACTCAATGTTCCACTATACAAACAAATGACCGAATCAACGCCACACGGCGAATGAGAACAACCCAAATTTGAGTTTAGTCAACTCATAAATCACATCAAGTGCAGGAACTCAGCGATGAGTAAATTTGCCTCATGTTTTTCCAGGGAAAAATTCCCGAATTTGAGAAAAGTAAATATTGGATTCATTCAGTCTATTGGTACTACTCCGAGACTGAATAAAAATTTTTCGTCAATTTCCTCATTTTTCGGCAGATTTTTTAGGTTTTCCACAGGAAACCATGAGACAAATTTACTCATCGCTGAGTTCCTGCACTTTTGGCGATTATGAGTGAACTAAACTCAAATTTGGGTCGTTCTCATTCGCCGTGCACGTTTTTCAATACCGAAAAATCACTAAAGCGAACCCCACACGTATCAATATATTGACGCAAAGTGGAATTATTGAAATTAATATTGATTATGTGAATACAGAAATATTGTTAATACCGATGTATTGACGTCAATATTGAATGTATTGACAATACGATTATTGTCAATGAAAGCAATCGTGTAGGGTCCACAGCTCAAATCGACCGCGGGCAGAGCCTACTATTTTTTTTATTTTTTATTTTTTGCTATTCGACGTTTTAGCGCGGTGTGTTTTGCCTTCTTCTGTGAATGATGGATTTTCATAATCTTCTTCTTCACAATATATATAAAAATGAATTTCTGTCTGTCTGACCCTTATAGACTCGGAAACCAAATTTGGCATGTGGAGGTCATAGGGGGTATCCCCTTATATAAGAGGGGGAGGGGGCTACGTACATTATAGCATGCTTTTTTTAATCGGCGCATGAGCTCAAGCTAACATTGAATCCCGAGCAAGGCCGGGTACACTCAGCTAGTCTTCTATATTATTATATATATAAAAATGAATTTCTGTTTGTCTGTCAGTCTGTCTGTCTATCTGTCTGTCTATCTTTCTGTCTGTCTGTCTATCTGTCTGACCCTTATAGACTCGGAAACTACTGAACCGATCTTTGTGAAAATTTGTATGCAGTGGTTTAGGGCCGAAAAAGGTTCTTATGATGGTTCGAGACCCCCCCCCTCTGTAAGGGGGGGGGGGCCTCCCATACAAATGAAACAGAAATTTTTGCATTACTCGAGAACTAATCAAGCAAATGGAACCAAATTTGGCATGTGGAGGTCAATAGGGGTATTTCCTTAGATAAGAGGAGGAGCATGCTTTTTTTAATCGGCGCATTTTGTATCTCTTAAATTGGCCGATTTAGAGCTATTTTCTTGAATTGAGTTAGGGTGGCGCTAAAAAACAGTTATTTTGCTCTAGTTTTCTTATTTCAAATATCTCAGCAAAGGTGTCTTCAAATGACTTTTAGATCTTTAGAAGGCGCAATTGTTTGCTACAGAAAGCTTGTCAATATCTTTCGCCGATCAAGATTTATTGACGTTTTTATACTAAAAATGTGCACTTTTCAAATGTTAATATCTCTGGTTGGGGCAAACAAACTAAAAGTCTTTTTACGGCATTTGAAAGGGCGTATGTTATTCTCAATAATATTAAAAAATTGCAGGTATGTTATTTTTTAAACTCGTATAAAATCAATTCGAATTTATTCAATTTTTTACAATATTTGGGTATATCTTTTTTATAAGAAGAGATACAGACAACAAATTTCGCTATAAAACAGAGTTTTAAAAGTTTCTAGAAGATGACTTTCATGAGAAATTTGAAATATTCTACAAAGTTGCTTGAAATTAGCTCAGCTATAACTTTGCCGAAGAATGTATACCTTTATATATTCAAACAAAAAAGTTATATTTTTGATTTAAATGATAATAAGAACCACCCTAGAATTCATTGTCATAAAAATAAGGGCCTAACTATAAGGAACTACTTTGTAGAAGGGACTTTTAGTCTAAAGTTTCAATTTCAGGCTCAAAACATATAATTCCACCTAAATCTGCATTCTGGACCACAGTGCATTGACAAGAATATACACATTGAAAAAACACTCATAACAATGACCCTGACAAACGTAAAGAGATCGACAAAGACGGTTACACTGACTGACCCTTATTCTCATAAATTATCAAGAAAATTATGTCAGCTGATTTCGATAGCCCAATGTTTATTCTGTCACCATAGACTAATCCGTCCGGTGTAATCACTTGATTTTTATTTTAAACGTAGGCTATTATAAATTTCTCTACTGAAAATGCAAACCACACACGAGACATCCTAAACAAATTCCAAGTCTTAGTTCACAAATAAAGTTAAGTTAAGTTTTCTTCATTAGGGAGGTTTTCAGCCAGAGGCTGGTTCGCCTCCGAGAAAAAAAAATCGAATTTATCTGAGACTCCAAACCTTGCAAAAAATTTCCATTTTGGCAATCTTAAAATTAGGACTTAATTTGGTATCATATTTTTTCGTGTCCTAGAATGGTTGTTTTAAAATTCAGATTTTTTGACTAATTGCCAGAAACAATCGTGTGGTACCTATGAGAAAGACTATAAAGGGTGTCTCACATCAAATTGCATCACGGAAAAAAACGCTGTAGAAATTACCCGTTGGGTATTTTCCCTTGAAAATTTGGTCGGAATTAGTTTAGAGTGTATTGTTTACAATGTATTTTTATCGCTGTCACCTTTTCGAAAGTTAGAAAAAATTACGTCACCCGTTAAGCAACGTCGCGAATTGATTTGGCGCAAGCACCTGGAAAATTCTCAACTCTCTCATCGGGACATCGGAAAACAACTGCGGAATCGTGCAGTCAACGGTGAGTCGTGTGATTAAATGGTACAACGAAACGCTGAGCATCAAACGGAAGGATAAATGCGGTCAGAATGGATGTTCTATTAGTGATCAGGATCACAAGCGTGTCGTGAAAGTGTTTAAGGGGGTATTCCCAATCTTTTGCCTTTTTTCGGCCTGTTTTTCAATTAATTTTTTTTCAAGGAAAATGAATAGTAATGCGCCTAACTCTTTGGGATTCTTGTTTATTGAACATTAAAGTTAACAAATAATTTTTTTTTCGACATAAAAAAAGACATTATTGACGTCACAAAATGGCGGCAAACAGACCCCTGTTCGCCGCAAACGCCTGGACGGGCGAAGACTTTTCTCTGGAAAAGCTTCATCTGAAACAGATTTCGTGATGAAATTAATAATCTGCATAAGATTCTCTGGAGCTTCTCCCGTTGGCAGCAAAAAATCTTGCAAATTAACAAAATGGCGGCCATATGAAAAAACAGGCGATTTTTAGTCCGCTTTTTTGCAGCTTTAAGGTGCTTCAAACAATGTTAAATGTTAATATTTTTGGCTGAAAGTGGGAGAAGCTCCAAAGAATTTAATAAGGAACAAAATGCGGAAAGATTCAAGTCAATATCTTTTATAGTTTCTGAGAAAAATCTTCACCCGATAAAAAAAATGTGGTTTCGAGAAAAACGCGTTTAAAGTTTTGACTTTAGTTAAAACCATTTTGGGGGTTCTTACCATTAGTCAGCTATGCCTGGAAACCGAATTCGCTGATCGGAAAACGGCTTGGGGGGATGAAAGTATATAGTCTAAAGTACAAAAAAAACGTGAAAAAAAAATTTGATTTTTTAAAAAAAAAGATCGGGAATACCCCCTTAAGCGGAATCTCAATGCTTCGGTCAGGGATGTGGCCTAAAAGTTGAATCTGTCCAAGTCTTTCTTTCAGAGAGCCAAGGACTGGGAGGGCTCCAAATCGTGACGAACTGCAAAATACGGTGGAGAAGTCACGGGCCGGGAAACTGTACACCCAGATGCTGACGAAGCCTTATTGTCTCATCATGGATGATGAGATTTACGTCAAGGCGGACTTCCGGCAGCATTCGGGGCTACTGTTCTTCACCGTTCAGCACATGTTTGATATTCCGGAGGAAGTAAGAGAGCAGAAACTTTCAAAGTTTGCCAAGAAATACATGATTTGGCATACGAGCTGCTCATGTGGCAAACAGAGTGCGCCCTTCGTGACTACCGCGACTGTAAGCGGGTAGATCTACCGAATAGTCTTCAAGATTTTAGTTATATTTAAGTGCGTTTAAAAAACGAATAACAGCGACTTACATTCTTTGTGTAGCGAATTGGCATTTTGACACACCTTTCTAAAAGGTAAGGATGCCGAAAATGAAAAAAAAACGATTTTTTGAAACCCATCAACCCTTCTTTATGAAGGCTTCTTGTTATCCATTGGCTGAAATTTGATGCATTTAGAACAAAATTAATAATTTTATTCTGATGAGCATGGCATCGTAATTAATGTTTAATGCATTCTGAGTCAGCCTGAATTAAATGATGAATGGAAATTTTAAAACCCCAGACACATTGTATAATACCACTGATGAGTTTCTCGGAATTCTGGATGAAGAAGTTTGGTTGTGATTCAGACACTCACAGCAATAAGGTGCTTCTTTTAAACCATTGCTAGGATGAAATTTCCCATAATCTGCTCTCTGTTCAAAAGTTATCTCCAATGAGCGCATTGCCCAAGCGCAATGACGGCGGAAGCGGAACGGCAACGACAGCGGAAAAATCCGATCTGAGTAAGCCTACTTGTCGGATTGAAAACTAGTTAGAATCAAATCGACTTCGGTTAGGCATCTTGATGTCATTAGCGACAATTGTCAAATTTTCCGTTTCCGGTCCGCTTCCGCCCACATTGCGCTTGGGCCTTTAGTATTGACCCACTCAACAGAAAGTGCCCCATGTACAACTCCAACCAAACACCCCGGTTCGTGCGTCTCGATCGAACGGTGCCGAAACATCTACACCATAGTTAGCAATCCAACTCCACCGTCTACGGGCATTGCTAACTCCTTAAAAAGGGCTGCCTGCACGCTACCGGGAGTGACGCGTAGTATTTGCTGTCAACCGGCAGAAGTTATCCCGGAGCCGCCTACAACAACGGCCAGCCCTGCTTCAGGCGCAAACTTTAATCTACTACCCAGAGACTGTGGCCGAATAGTCACCGATAGAATTTCCCATGGAAACGTTACCCAAGTGTTTAGCTACCCCTGGATGGCTGTTCTACGGTACGATTACAATGGTACAATCATAGGTGAATGTAGTGGATCGCTGATCAACAAGCGGTACATCTTGACGGCTGCACATTGTCTCAACATGGAAATGTAAGTTAAATGAAAACTACTTTGTTCAAAGAATTACTCATTGTATCATTTCCTTGTTCCAGACATAGCGTCGTACTCGGAGAACATACCAAGGGCCAAGACATTGATTGCAACATTTATCATGATATCAAAGGTGAAGAAATCGAAAGGGACTGCGCTGGACCGATTGAGGAGTTCGGGATTGAATCGTTCGACGTTCACCAGGATTACAATCGACCGATATACAGCAACGACATTGGATTGATTCGACTGGATAAAGATGTTACTATGAACGGTAAATACCATATGAAGCAAATCTTGTTTCTGGATATGTTTGTCAAACTTCGCATAATTTCGTTACAGATCACATAAAACCAATATGTTTACCCGTTACGGCGGATCTACAAAAAAAAGTGTTTGAAAACTATGTTGTTACTGGTTGGGGAACCACAGAAGCTCAAAAGGAATCCAATATTTTGCTGGAGGCAGTTTTACCCTATGTGGACATATCCGAGTGTCGCCTGAAATTGAAAGAAAACCAAATATACGTTCGGCTTAGCGATAATCAAATGTGCGCTGGGGGTAAGAATAAGGTCGATTCCTGTAAGGGTGACTCTGGCGGACCACTTGGATTCAGTGCCAATTATAACGGTGCCCGATTCGTACAGTTCGGAATCGTTTCCTTCGGAGTTAAAGACTGTGGGCAAAAGAGCGTACCCGGTGTATACTGTCGGGTGGCAGCCTATATGGATTGGATAGCGGAACACATTAAACCCTAATTTTGTAGTGATTATGACAGTCTGCACTTGTGTTTAAAAAACACTTTCGGTAGTTAGTAAAATCAGGTCTCGAGAAAACCAGATATAAAATTTCACCGGAATTAATGCGGGTTTTATTGCTGAAAGAAAGTTCATAGCCTACTGCTGTATTTACTTAGAGCAGCCGTACCAGTCGTTGCCATTTGCGGCACTATTTTTCTTACGCACAGCGTTTCCATTTTGGCTTAATCACTCCTCTCCATACCGGTCGTTGCTATCAGAGTCATAATTTAAGTTACCGTTTTCCACACCGGCAAAACAAACTTTTGGCGTTTATTCAAAATAGCAGCCGTCTGATGCGTTGCTACCGGGTTGCTAAATTTATGAACTCATTACTTCCCAAGGTGCGGATTGCTATTTCCCCAACCTGAATAGCAACCCCCGGTACGCAAGTAGCGTTATGGTAGAGGTTGGTAAATGTGCCTTATTTACTCATTGGTACGGTTGCTCTTATAGTTGGTAGCATTGCATAAATACAACTCGAAACACTGAATAAAAGTTTCTTCCATGTTTGAATTGAGCAATTATAATTTTTTTGATCCGTTTAGAAAAAAGGTGCTTTTTAAGATTTGTGTAATCTCGTTCGAGGATTGAGGATATTTATAAAGTTACGTAAGGATTTTCCGAATTTTGAATATAGCTCATATATCAATTTTGGTGCAGTTTTTGCATTGACTTAGGGAAAATTACGGTTTCGGCCATGGGGTAAGTCACTCAGCACATTGTGCCGAAATTAGATTCGGCACAGATTGGGCACATCCATCGGCAAACGTTCAACATACCTTCGGCACACCTTCGGCACAATCTCGTAGGCTTGTATTGTTGTAAATAAAATGGGAGCACTGCTGGACAACTGTCATTGAAGTTGTTCACAACATTACGTGCTGTTGGACTGTATATTCAGGAACATCCTCTAATTGAATATACTAGAGAAACTCAGCCTAGCCGTTCACTTATAGATCTAAATATAATATGTAGGTTCTAGAGCGGGCTCAAGAGAAAGAGGCGGGTAATCAGACCCCATTAGTACCCTTAATTCAAATAATGCTGTAACTCACACAAAACAAACTCAATAAGTCTTGTCATCACCCTCTATAGCCGGTCTCGAACTATGCTCCCTACCAACTCCGCTGATAGACCGATGCTTTTCCTATCACGAAAAACTTGGTTTCTGGTCTGCCTTTGAGGGCATTATAAAACACTAAAAACACAGGACTTTACAGCATTTTATCCTATGGAATACAAAACATACAAATTTTGCACACCCGCCACTACCCGCGTCATCCTCAATCCGATTTATCCTTGCAAATTCAAACCAAAACATTCAAGGTGTCAGAAATACCGGGTTGCTGGGATGCGTATTTTACAAACAATCGCAGCTTGCTCTATGACCGGCACAATCGGCACACCTGCGGCAAACTTGTGGCGCACTGACAAAAAAAGATGGCTCAAAACTGGTGTGCGGAGTTACCTACCCCTTGGTTTCGGCACTTCTTTATCTATCATGGTCAGGGGGTAAACTAAGTCCTTCAGCACTGACTTATTGCATGCATGGGCAGGGCTGGCAAATGTCATTTTCACGCGATATTTACAGAGATACTTCTGTCACTATCATCGGATGAGAAAACTTTGAAAGAGATTTTCTTCAAAATATCTTCGATTTTTGTCATGGCAGAACGTGACAGTGTTGTGATCATCGTAATTACTAGCTCATTTATTGCTATTAAAGTTACTTGTACCGAGGAAAACTTTATAATATATTCACTCTACCGATTACATATGGTTGGTTGCTTAAATTCATCTAAATCAGTTAGAAATGTTCATATCAAAACCGCATAAGAATTATTCTCATGAGTGCTTGATCATTGGAAAATGACAAGAAAGCAAATGATAGGTAGTTTCGTCTCATGATAGAGAGAGGACCTGTTTTCTCATTGTCAAATGACGACCGTGATATTTACCAGCTCTGTGTAGGGGTATCATATTCTAGAGAATTGTTCTGCATAAAAAAAATGATTTCTCTAAGACTTCATTTACCCTCTTGACGATAATAGATAAAAAAAAGTACCGAAGCAGTCATTTTCTCTAAGCCAATGCAAAAACCGCATCAAAAATTGATGTTTGAACTGAGCTTTATTCAAAATTAGAACGGGTTGAAGTGTTTTCACTCTTCCCTAAATATCGCATAATTTAGTAGCTACACTGAAAATGTATTTTCATTATTTCTCCGAAAACCGTTTCGTAATCTGGCGCAATGTCAATATTACGCCTTATTCGTATAATATACAAATTCATCTTCGTACAATCATACCAACAACTGCGCTTATTGTCTCATAAAGTGCTGATTGAGCGTTGGAGATGGGATACTTTTTTTTTTGTTTGAAATATTGTCAGTTTGACCAATACATGCAAGCTACCATTATAAATCAAAATACTGGTCGCAGTGGTTTTATGTCAGAGGAAAAAAATACATGCAAGCAGCAGAAAAAGCAAACGAAATCGAATTACCGCTCCATGAGTACTTCTTATTTGCCTTTAGCCTTTCCATTTCTCGTTAGCACAGATAGAGCGATGGAAAAGGCACAGATATGACTATCGCAAGGTTCATGATACGAGTCTGGTCTGAACCCTTTTTTATTTTGTTTTTATCATGTTTATTTCATCCAATGATGAAGTTATTTTTACCCATCCTCACTAACACATTCCACATTTTTCGGTCTCCACAACCAACACTTGTGGCCCGCTGGTTGGGTGTAGCGATAGCGAGTGTGGCACTTCTAACGAAATTAGCTTCATACAATGTACAAACCCGCATCGAAAATAATCATAAGGAGTGCCAAACTTTCATAGCGAATCAAAACAAACATAGTGTAGTACTGGAATTTATACTAGAATGGGGTACGTTAATCGATTTGCTTGAGACCAATAGGCTAGGCAAGTAGTGAGCCAATTTAAAATCTTTAGTTTCGTATTGATTGTTGACTACACTATGTTTGTTTTGATTCGGTATGAAAGTTTGACAGATAACATGAGGGGTCCATGGATTTTCCTATGTTTCGAGGGGTGCATCGATTAGCTTGGGACGGAAGATAGTACCAGAGCTGAGCCAAAAAGTTGAGCACGTTTCTTCGGAACCTTCTGGTCTTAGAGTTACCTCTATGGTGCTATCATGATGGATGTACGTTCTTAAATATTTTGCTTTGTAGCTTTTGAACTAAAGTATCGTACCAAACGTATGATTGATTCGTTCATATCAAAATCATTGATATTATATGACGGAAATACGCACTAATGCCGAAGTAGTTCCGTACCCTATACACAATAATTTTACCCAGTCGAACGTTTGTATCATGGTGGGTATATAAATGGTGATACAGCTTTGTCACTATATAGGCGAGGAGGTCGCGGGGGGGAAAAATGCGGTTTTAGAGCAAATTGTAAACAAACTCGGTCGCTGTCCCATACAAAAATCCAACATGGCTGAATCACGAATTTGACACATTAGAACACCTATATGTAGCCACCTTGGTTTGTATGAGGAGTATGTATTGAGCTTGTCACTCGTCAATCTCACAGAAAAACAAAACTACCCACCGCTTGGGTTTTTTAAACTCAAATTTGAGTTATTTGACCTCTGCCCGTTTCATTTCCTCTCGCTATTGTTGTCAAAAATAGAACGAAAGATTCGACTCAACCGAAAATAACTTAGCGATGGGTAATTTTTTTTGCCGTGCTTAAATGCAAACTACACAGAAAGGAATGCTGCAGTGGAATCTACCATATTGGGGGTTTAAATTAAACGTAAAGCGCCCATTACATATGTCAATATATTGACAAACATCGTATTGCCAATTTTCCTTACAATATAATCAATTTATAAATATTGAAAACATTAATGACAATACACTAAAGCGTTTGTTACACGGGTCAATATATTGACAATAAATTGACATACTGACAATATTATTGAAAGATAATACTGATGACGATGGTTTGATGACGAGTATTGTTGAAAACTGATTTTCATTTCACTTTCTCAATATTCTTCCCCTACCTAAGAGGAGGGTGAACGTACGTCATTTAGACCGACTGACTCACAATGCACCTTCACGCATGCAGTGTTGCCATTTTGTTTAAATCTTCGTGTGTGATATAAAATGGATATCAAACTAAATAAAAAAGTATCCTTTTACAGTCACCAATCACTTCGCCTATATCGATGTTCATTTTCTACAAAATCACAAGCATAATCATGAAATTTTGTTTTTTAATTTAAAATAAAATAAATACTATCTGCGTTCCACATGCCTACACGTAACGCAAATTAAATAATATATCAGGCATAACATTTGATAACGGCACAAAAGCATTTGTAAACAAACTTTCTAAGGCCCTTTACACGCGAACCAAAGTACGCCCACGCAAACCAATACCACTTGTGGAAAGGTGATAGTTGCCCTTATCCGATGATGTTGTTGGTTTGCGTGGGCGTACTTTGGTTTGCGTGTAAAGGGCCTTAGAAAGTTTGTTGACAAATGCTTTTGTGCCGTTATCAAATGTTATGTCTGATATGTATGCAAGTTTTTCCTTTAGGAATGTTAACCAAAACATCAGCATAATAGTTTATTTATGGGAAACTGCATACCATGAACGTGGGTTATTCAACACGAGTGGTAATTCCGTGCAGTCGACAATCGATTTTATTCAATTCCATTAATTTGTTATCATGTTGTCCTGTATATTGTCTGTGTCCTGTCAAAAATTTACAACATTGGATATTGGCGTTGACGGAACCGTCGAGAAATCGTCTCTTCTAATAAATATTGACAGTTTCTTATTGGAACTTTCAGTGGAGTGAAAGGATAGTACCAACTAGAAATACTCAGAGGGTGAGATAGGCGGAGAAAACAAAATACAATTCGGCAGCAAGGATTTGTTTCTAAATTATCTTGCAACCCTTGCTAGAAGCTAGCATTTCAAATGACTTTTATTTTTGATTCGATTTACGTGCAAAATAATAATTGATTGCATCGCAATATTTTGCACATTTCTTGGTGCCATTCATCAACCAACGAAGATCAATTAATCAATAGAGTTAGAATATTGGTTTTGGTTCCAAAAACTAGTTGAATTTGAGAAGCACACAAAACATAAAGGGGATTGAATTTCTGTTCGATTGCAATAGTCTCAAATTTATACTAAAAAGAATAAGAAATCCTCAGAAATTCTAATGGGAATGTTCGATTGGCTCAGATTTTGACAGTTCATTTGGCTCAAAACATTCTCTCCGCCCAACTAATCCAACAATTTTGGAATTTATTACGAAATTGTACGGAACTATTTAAAACCATTCAATGATTGTGTCGATTTTATTGATTTCTTACGAGTGATGGTAATTTGAAATTTTACCGACATTTTCAGTAGTTCA